CTTTGTTAGTCTTTATGTGAACAAATTCCTTTGTTAGCATCATTAAAAAACAAATCAGCTATGCTTTTCTTGAAGAAAAATAAAAAATTACTTGTTTTTCGTTTAATCTTTCTTTCTTTGTTTACTTTTTTTTAAAAAAGAAAAAAGAAAAAGAAAAAAATGGGTGTAGTGGCAGTGGGGTTAATGTCCCTTCATTTCTCCAACAAGAAGATTTGGGGTGGTGATGGATGAATTCATGGACCATTTTGTCGACTATGGGATTGATGGACACTACCACCCTCAAACCATGTTTGGTGGGGGGCGGGGGAATAAGTCCATGCGCATTATTTTTTTCATTCTCATTCTTCTACTCATTTTCAACCACACATTCTTCAATAAAATAATATTTTCCATCACACCAATAATTTTTTCCCTCTTTTTCATTCACATATTTCTCATCACATCAACCAAAAAAATACATTATTGGAGCAAAAATGTGCACCAAACAGGGGCTAAGTTTTACTTGACTTGTGAGTTCGTAAGAAAATGTAATTCGTCATAATATATATAAAAGTGAAAGTAAATCATGTTATGTTGTCGATTTTTTAAAGAATTGCTTGTCTTTTCATTTTTGGATTTGACAATGTAATTGACTACGAGTTAGACGATCTCTTAACTCACTTACTAAATAATCATATAAAATAAATCTAATTATTCTTATGCCATTGAGTATCTTTTGTTTTTATATTGAAAATTGTTCCATCACCATTCCCATAAGTCTTATATAGGAATAAAAAAAAAAGCAAAGTTTAAAGCTTCCTTCAACTTTTCAAGTTGACAAGTTGATCTCAACAACTGGGAAAACTTCATAACTTGCAAGCCTAAATATTCAATGGAATGCAGTAACAACTAAAGGAATTTGTTAAACAAGGATCAAATTGAACCTAAAAAATGAAGAATAATTTCATTTACTCCATAATTTTACGTAAAATGATATATTCTCAAAACCTATCATCGCTTGTGTAAAATTCCGATTCAAGTCCAAAAGCCTTGTAGGGATATAACCCTTTAGACTAAGGGGGCGAGCAAAGGATCTCAAAGTCTCGACATGAGGCGATAAAGGTTAATTTGACTCATGAAGATTCTAGTGTGTTAAGGGATAGAATCTCACATCGAATAAAAATGTAAAGATATACCAACTTATTAAGGATTGGGTTACTCATCTTAAAAAAGTTGACATTTTAAGATGAAACTCCAATTCTTAATATGATATCAGAGCACATTAAGCTCTAACGAGCAATTTGATCTAGTTAAGACTCCAAAAGTAAGCATACGAATTTCAAGATTTGTCTGCTCAAACGAGCCACCATCTTGAGGGGGCATATTAAGGGATAGAATTCCACATCGAATAAAGATATAAAATATAAACCAACTTATAAAGGATTGTGTTACTTCTCTTAAAAATGTTGACATTTTAAGATGGAACTCCAATTCTTAACATAGTGAATCCCTCATTGTAGATTTTCTGACTTAAGTATCAGTAATCATAAGCCACAAATTACATTAAAATCACGTCTTAATTTGTTCATATATTTAATAGACACTCTTAAAGTGGTGATGTCACTTCGATTAATCTGATGTTTAGTCCATGAAAAACCAGT